ATTGTTCGGGACGAACAATACTAAGGAAGGGGCAGTGTTACGACAGCGGAAGTCGTGTGACGCTAGTAACACGTCACGAGCTTCTAGAAAATTCATGTCCGTTCTTGAAGCCTCGAGTGTTTACTAGATGGGCGGTGTTCTTGTATATTAGACCGCCAAGAAGGGACGGCAACAATGGAATTGAATTGCAGACAGAGCTAGAGACGATAATTGAGTCAAGCGCGTGAATCGACATTCGTTGTGAATTATAAAGTTTATTTAAGTTATAGCGTGACCGTGGAAATTAAGTGAATTTCAAAGTTGTATTGAGAAAGAATAAACTAATTTTATTTAAGAAAGGACTTGTATCGCTAAAGTTTCTTCGGAAATAATTTTTACGGAAAATTAACAAACGATCAGAGGCGTAACATAATATTTTAATTATTAAGGTAGTTTTAACTGTTATGGGATGTTATAGTGTTTTTCAAAACTAATATGGACATTTATACAATAGTTTTAACTATTACAGGATGTCACAGAGTGGTTTTTAATTATTATGGGATGTTATAGGGTGATATTTTAAAACTATTATGGGATGTTTCTTAAAAGTATTGTTACGACAGCGGAAGTCACGTGGATCTAGTAACACGTGACTATTATCCAGAAGATTCACAAAGAGACGAGTGTAATCTAGATGTACGCTTTTATATTATATAAGCCGGCAAATATAGTGACGGCAGAGAAAGTGACGGCAGACAGGCAGAGAAAGAGACGGACAATTGAGTCAAGCGCGGTAGTGACCGCAAGTAAAGTGAGTGAATCGTTGTGAATTATAGCGTGTGTTTAAATTAAAGTGACTGTAGAAATTAAGTGTATTGCAAAGTTGAATTGAGAAAGAATAAACTAGTTAATCTGAGAAAGGACTTGTATCGCTGAAGTTCTTCAGAAAGAATTTTTACGAGTAATTAACAAACGACCAGAGAAATAACACTGGAAAATATTTGTTGATTTCTTAATTTAGAGTCTCCCTTGATTAAAGAGTTTTTTTATTGATAGAAAATAGCTTAATTTAGGAACGCTTTAAGTTTAAAATTTTGATTGGTTCACAAAGAATTTTACCGACGTTTGACTGCCTCGACTGCACTTTTCTCTGTCTCTGTTGGTCAAGTTTGATTTCGCACAATGTGTTATTTTCACTTAGCTATGAAATGTGAGGTTAGGGTATACCAGGGGGTGGTAGTACTTTCCCGTCATTTTTGATTGGCTATACGCCAGTATATTTGTAAAGCATGTTACGAATATGGGTCGAGTGTTGGTGAATGTTAAGACCTATAATTTCATGTTTTGTTTCTATTAGTATTATTATTATTATATGTTTACCTCGTTTGTTTCACTTTCGGTTTAACATTAAACTTTTAAAGAATAATATAACTAGTGTTTGTAAATTATATTCATAATGAATTCAAAGTCAAACAGAGGAAGTGAAACTGGAAGAAATGATCTAATGAAAGTTACGAAGGAAGAGTTTGTTCTCGGAAATAATGCAATATTTAAAGGCGAGGTAGGCTTATAACTTTATATATATGCGTATATTCAGTGTTTTGTTATGGGTTTATTTTCTGGAATATAATACGAATGATGTGGCCCATTTTGTACATGATTGTGATATAATAATATTTAAGTAACACTAATAGTGAAAATGTGAATTGTAGTTAATGATAGCTTATTTTTAGCGAAGATTTAAATTTATTCAGTATCGTGCAAATTATTAGGACGTCAAGAAATCTGTTTTTTAACTCGGGAACCTCCTATTTAATCAAAAGAATTCATAAAATTTTAAAGGGACAAAAAAGGAGCTTATTAGCCCATCAAGAATGCCCCTTCCATCTCCCAACTATAACCACCCCTTACTATTCATGTATTAATCTGATTTTTTCTTGAATTCAGTTAAATTTTCTGTCACCATCACCCTTGAAGGCAGCTTATTCCAAAAGCCAACTACCCTGTTTGAAAAGTAATGTTATCTAAACTGCAAATGACTCCTACACTGCCAAAATTTGAAGTTATGACCCCTTGTCCTATTGTTTTCATTGCTAAACACAAAAAAAGTTTGATGAATCTATATTATCAATACCCTTAATAATCTTAAACACCACAATCAAATCCACTCTGACCCTTCTTCTCTCTAAAGAAAACAAGTTTAGAGATTTTAATGTCTCCTCATAGGACAATCCCACGATCCTAGGTATCATCCTAGTGGCTCTTCTCTGAACCTTCTCCAACAATTCAACGCCCTTCTTGAGGAAGGGAGCCCAATAGTGTAAACAGTACTCTAAACAAGGCCTTACAAGTGATGTATACAGTGAAACAATAATATCCTTTGTCTAATATTCAGTATTTCTATAGATGCTACCCAAAATCCTATTAGCCCTATTGCTAGTTACAATACGGTGTTTAGATGACTTAAGTGATTTTTCGATCATAACACCAAGATCTTTTTATTCAACCACAGTATTTAATGTATTCCCATTTAAATTATTACATTAATTTGAATTGTAAAAACCTACATGCAATACTTTACATTTTGGATAGTTAAACATCATCTGCTATGTATTGGCCCAATGCATCAAATGATCTAAATCTCCCTGTAAGTCTGCAGCATCTTTGATACAGTTAGCTATCCCAAAATTCTTAATGTCATCTGCAAACTTCAAAATTTTGTTAGTCGTTCCAGAGTCAATATCATTAATATAAATCACAAACAGCATAGCAGGCAGCACAGATCCCTGAGGCACACCACTTGTAACTGTGATCCAGTCAGATCTAACTCCATTTATTACTGTTCTCTGCTTTCTACTCTCCAGAACATTTTCTATCCAATTTTAATAACCCCCCCCCCCCTCAAGAGTATTTCTTTCACCAACTCTTACAGTAACATCCTCAAAGAATGTCAGAAGATATGTTAAACAAGACTTTCTCTTAGTGAAACCATGCTGACTCTTTGACTCTATATCAAACTGCTTTAACTGACTCTATAATGCATCTTTAATCACACTCTCCAAAACCTTTCCAACTACTGATGTTAGACTAACTGGCCTATAATTGCCTGGACAGTGTTTATCACCTCCTTTAAATGTTGGACTAACATTAGCCAACTTCAAATCCTCTAATACTTTTCCACTATGCAATGACCTATAAAAAATATTAGCTGGTGGTTCACAAATATAATCTTTAAGTTCTTTAGAACTTTAGGAAAAAAGTTGTCTGGGGATTTATCAATTTTTAGGTTTCCCAACTTTTCTCATACAATTTCAGAACTTAAAATGATATCTTCTACATCAATATTTTCCCCATACATTAAATGCTCTGGTTGAGGCATAATACTTGTATCTTCCTCTGTCAAAACTGAAGAGAACATATAATTTTATAAGTTTACCATCTCTTAATCTTTTTGAGATCAGCTCCCCACTATCATTTTTAAGAGGCCCAATCCCTATCCTAACATTTTGTTTACCCATCATATACCTAAAGAATTCTTCCAAGTCCTTATTATTCCCAGTAAGTTTAATTTTCTTGAATTTATTATGTTTATTCCTAATATGATCTCTTAAATCTTTACTAAACCATACTGGCTTATTCTGCTTCATTGCCCTTTTTCTTTCTGTAGGAAATACATATGTTTTTTATGCATATGAATTTGTCCCTGAATGCTTTCCACATCTCTTGAAGATCCCCTCCCAACTCTTTAGTCCAATCTACAGAAGCCAGATCATGTCTCATTCCATCAAAATTGGCTTTCTTGAAATTTGAAATTGGGTACTATTCTTCTTCAATTCAAAATGTAGTAAAATCCCAAATCTAATAGTGCAATGGTTGCTTGTACTTAAATGCTCACCAACCACAACTCTGTTTATCATATTCACATTGGATGCTAATATTAAATCTAATATAGCTTCCTCTCTTGTAGGTTTCACCACCAGTTAGTGTATAAAGGTATCCTGAACAATTTCCAAAAACCAATCCCCCTCACTGTAAGACTCAATTTTCCCAATCAATACCCCTGAAATTAAAAGCTCGCATAATATGTTTTTCAGTTACCATTCTGATCTCGTTATACAGTTTCTCATTAACTTCCACATTCTGACCTAGTGGTCTATACCAAATCCCGATTACAATACTTTTTTTCCCTTTATATTCACTAACACTAACCCAAACTGACTCAACCTCAGTGCTATTTTCTCTAATATGCTCTAACTCAACAGGATGCAATTCACTCATCACATATAAAGCTCCTCCTTTTTTTTCAATACTCTATCTCTAGTAAATAATCTGTAGCCTGGTATTTCAAAAATTTTTCTCAACAAAATTGTTCAAATCCAACCAAGTCTCAGTGATATCCATAGTATCAAAATCCTCAGTTTCTACAACTGCTTTGAACTTATCAATTTTATTTCTAATACTCCTAGCATTACAATAGTAAACAATTAATCATAGATTTTAAAATACATTCAAGTTTTATGACTGTTGTACATGTTTTCCTGTCAATTATATTTCGTATTTTACTAATATCATAGCTCTCACCTCTGTCTACCCCTAGTTTAAAATCTACCACTACAGCTGAGTTAATATCCCTTGTTAACATGTTAGCCCTGCCTTGTTTTAGTGTAAGCCATCTATTTCAAAAAGATTAAATAACCCATTAAAGTTATCCCACAAATCCAACCAGCCTATTTGTTCATCCCTACATATTGATCTAACTTTGGCATTTGATCCTAGTGACCTATTTAGTATCTCATCCCCAGAATTTATTCTTGGCAACATCCCTGACAAAATCAAGCTATGACTCCTTTCTTTAAATGCCATTATCAATGTTTTATACTTATCAATAAGCTCCTCAGATCCATCTTTCCTTACATCATTAGCCCCAACATGTACCATAAAACTGCATAGCTACTAGCATCCTTAACTATCTATCTTGTTCTATCAATTATATTCTGCATTCATGCTCCTGGGTAACGTAAGCATATTCTTTTGCTCCTATTTACTCCACATACTACTCTATCTACATTCCTAACTAGAAAGATACATACAACTATAACTTCCATATCCTTTACACTATCATCCCTTGTATACCATCTGTTTCCTTTACCTGCTCCCCCTCATCACTAGCAAGTGCTTGGAACTGGTTGCTTAACCTAAACCCAAGCCCATTCTTGCTCCTAAATGCATTATTTTTGATGAAATATCAGTGCTCATAGAAACTGATCTAATAGGGTAGGGTAGAACACGGAAAAATGCCACACGTTGCCAACTCTTGGATTACTCTTTTAGTAGTATTGATTGTCACATTATTACGCCTCCACAGCTGAAAGGGCAAGTATGTTTGGTGACAGGATTAGCACTCGCGACCGACAGATTGTGAGTCAAGTGCTCTAACCACCAGGCCATGGCAGGCCAGGAGTTGTATGTGCAACTAAAGCTCTTTAATGTATGATGTGGAGGCCAAACCCTACATTACCACAAAAACAATTACAAGCAAAGTAGAAAACTCTATATTTACCACAGAAACATTTTTCATGCATGACAAATTATTCATTTCAGAAAAATCCACATATTAGTTATCATATTTTCAAATACATTTAAATGACACCAAAAAACAGTGTTCAGCAATAATAATGTATTTTTAAGAATCTTCATACACCTTAACACAATCATACCAAAAATGCTGGAAATGGACATTTTTAATATAGTATGAATACTTGAAATATCAAAGTCCATTATTCTCAATCTGTACTTTTGAGACCTCATAATGATACCAAAAATGATTATATCAAGGAGTTTCAGAAGCACCATCATATACTGCAACACACACATACCAAGCAATGGCTGTTTTTAATGTAGAAAGAATATTGGAAGTCCCTAATTTTCATTTGGCATTTTTGAGATCTCTTAATGATATCAAAAGCAGCACAACCATGTTTAGGAGCAATTATAGATTTTCAGAAACCTCATCTTATACTTTAGTACAAAATTATTAAATAATGCTGGAATAGTTGAAAATACTTAAGCCCATTATTTTAAATCTTATATTGGAGAGCTTGTAATAATTCCACAAAGAGATGTCTAGGAATATTTATCAAAACCTTATCATATAACACACACACCAAATAATGCTGAACTTGACCATTTTTAATGTATAAAGAATATTTGAAAATATTAGGTGACACTATTCCACAGGTTTACTACTTTATTGGAGAAATAAATCGACTTCAACTGGAGTTATGTCAGATTTCTCCAATATTAGTTGTCTGAATTCTTGTTCTACTGCCCTTAGGATTCAACATGAAAAAAATTGTCTCAATATTTTCAACCCCCCCCCTCTCCACTTGGGTTTCACATTGTACAGCAAAAGTGCTAAACAAAACTGCATGAAACTTAGTATCAACTTTTTAAAATGTATTCATCTAGTTTTTGTGTGGAAAATATTTACTTGTTGACATAGTATACATATGTATCATTTCTTAGTTTGTGGCATCCTTGAAGTTTTGTTAACATACACAC